GACATTGCATAAATGACTTACAACAAAGACAGTTATTGATAACTTGTATGTATCACTGCAGACATGCAATAGACGCGCTTTTCTATCCTTGGTTGTAAATATACTTTACTCAAGGTTATAGATATCTGGTGTGTATACTTCTAATTACATCCAAATAAATATAAAAGACTGCGACTAAAAGCTGCAAGTCTTATTGTTTATTTTCACTGAATAGTTGATTTATAAATTAGGTATGGGTCTTTTCTTGATTTGCTACCAACTGGAAGATGCCAGGTCCTTTCTGGGTAATGTCTGATTGAATAATCAATTATTGCCCAAAGTTTTGGTCATCGAACAGAAAAGAGGTAACATGGGAAAGTATATACGATTTCATTTAGTACTGTAAATTCTGTATTAGATGCCATGGTTTTTAATAAAATGGTGCAATGCAACAGCAGGGATGCAGCTTCTATTAGAGCATCTACACATGACAGATGGTGAATTTTTGATTTCTAATTGTTAAAAAAGAATGAGTGCGACTTCTATTAGGGATGCTGCTTCTAATACAGATTTTACGGTACGTGATTCTATATGTAATCATGTGCGAGCAGTAAGAGTAGATTTCACAATTGTATCAACTATTTTGACTTGTTTTGCACTTGAACCAAGTTGGTGCATAGAATAGAATGACATACGCCGAGTCAATTATGAACGTACAATACAAATGCCTGGCTGTTATGAGTAATCAGAGACATGGTGTAATAATGACCTTAATGGGAAATTGAGTAAACAATTTGAATATGTCACACTCTACTATATAATAGAAGTTCTTGGGTAGAGGGCACCGAGTTGGCATGTGCTAAACATAAACACAACTTTGGTTTGTATATGAAATCAAGGTGTGTGATGAGTTGTAAATTCCCTGTCCATGACGATAGAGGGCAGTCTAATAATTGTCCCCAGGACCCATGTAAACAATATGGCTCGGCTAGCGAAGTGTGATGTTTACCCTTGCAACTGATAAAACAACACTGACACAAAACCTATTTCTGCTACCAAGCTAGTCTGGCAACTTTGTGGGAACACAGATGATCATAATCCATATTAAATTCCCCGACTCCTGCAATGTTACAGCAAATCAGTGTGGATGGCTTCTCAATCTTTGGTTTTCACAAAATAGACTCAATTTGGAAACAAAGCTATAACAGGTATCTATGGAAATTTTCTGAACAATTTCCGGTAACCAATGCTCCTTCAATACGACACAACCACTTTCATAGCAGTATATATTTAGGTATTTGTAATTAAATGTTTTCACAATCAAACAGCCATTCCTAAAGAGCAGTTGTCGTCGCACCATGCATGTTTGATAACATTTGTGTTGAAAATGGAAATCATGACTACGATAGGAGTTTTGACCTGGGTGCAGTGTGCATGAATTACCACTGCCGACTCCTTCGATATCTTCCAATCACCAAAGAAATTATCTAGTTGAAGCATAGTAATGTATCAGTTTGTGCTCTGCATAACAAAGTCTAAATTTTTGTTTATATGAGGCGCATGTGACGACCACAGCCCTTCAAGGCCGTTTTAGCCAAATTCACATGTTTGTTCCAAAAGACCACACTCTGAATGCCATTGGTGGCGCAATATTTTTTTTAAACACAAGCAAATAGATTTTTTTGATGATCCATACAAAGAAATAAATTGCAACAGTGCATTGTTTTCCTTTGGACCAAAAACAACTCTTTAGGTAGACCTAATATAATTAAAGTATAAAGAAAAAAATTTCAGTCAGTTTCCAGTATAATTTTTCATGCTGTACAATGGAAAATTTTCTCGCATAATGCATTGCATGTGTGCAGTGACCAGTAGAACAATTCAACTCACACTGCCTAGCATAAAGATGTACAAGCAATTGTAGACAAAAGAAATTGAGAGCAAGTTTGAATGTTTTAATAGAGTATTTAATTATTTACAGTGGTGTCTTTCCATTAACATATAAAGATTCTTTCAAACCAATCATACTTCTACAAACAAATCATTTTAAAGAGAAACACCAACAAATACTGAAACTGTTGTAAAAAACTGAGAACTGAATTTATTCAATGTATCAAGC